CACTCGCGGCCTCCTTTCTCTCCTGGGTTTTCTCTGTTTCTGTAGCTGTCTTCCTTTCCACGTACACATGGGGAGATGTCGCTCCCAGCTCAGTACACGAGTCTTCGGAAACACCATTCCCAGAGCCAGTGACCGGCGTCTGTGGTTTCTCTGATGAGCTGCAGTCTGTACTTAATCCTGGCGCCCTCTGAGAACTACTGGGAAACTCAGCTGCCACATCAACACCATCGCTGTCACTTTTTGGAACATGGAAGCTCATTCCTGAAGTGCTAGGTGCGTCTTCACTGTCATCATCTGAACTCTCTGAGCTGGACTCTTCCACAGTCTCCAGTCCTTCCATGCCCAACCTGTCAGAAACAGAAAGGTTCAACACCGTTTACAGCTTCTGCTTAAAAATAAAAAAAAGCTGTAGTTTATTCAGGGAACAGAGACTGGAACCAGCTGTCCTGAAGATCCAAGAGGATCGCTTTTTTTTTTATTTTATTTATTTCTTATTTAAGTCGAGTTGGTATACAATATTATGTTGGTTTCAGGTGTGCAATACAGTGATTCAGCATTTTTATATCTTGCAATGTGATCACCCCACTAAGTGTAATCATCTGTCACCGTGCAGACTTATCACAATATTGTTGACTATAATCCCCTTCATCCTTTTCACCCATCCCCCATCCCTTCCCCTCTGGCAACCATCCCTTTGATCTGTTTCTATGAATCTGTTTTTGTTTTGTGTTTGTTTGTTCACTTGTTTTGTTTTTTTAGATTCCACACATAAATGAAACCATATGTTGTCTTTCTCTAGAGGCTCTCTTAAGACAAAATTGATTTTACTTAAAAGCTTTTTTTCCACATATTGTATGAATTTCAACTGTTGGAAATTATTAGTTAATATTATTAATTATTAACTGTTGGAAATTAATAAATAGTTACAAGAAAATCTTATGTTTTATTCACAATTGCTCCAAACTGGAAGCTATCCAAATGTCTATCAAGTGGAGAATGAATAAACAATTGTGGTACAGCCATACTATGCAATAACTTGGCAAGAAAAAGGAAAGAACTACTGATCAATAAAATACCATCGAGGGCCGGCCGAGTGGTGCGATGGTTAAGAACTGGCTTGGGACGCCAGAGGGCCCCGGTTCGGATCCCACATATGAGGGCCAGTGACACTGCCC